CAAGGCTAACATCCTTAACCAGAAACACCATTTTATCTCCTACTGGTCAACAACTTGAATAGACTGTTCTGTAGTTCAGACTCCTTATCTAGAAATATCTTCCAGGAAAGCACTTCATGAACTCTGGAAAAAAACTATCTATCCAGACAGGAAAAGGAAAGTTCAACCCTCAAAGCAGTATTTACTACAGAATACCCTCAGAAGAAAGTATAAGGAGAAAGATAATTTTTGTGATTCAAGTTATTTCAGTGTGAAATGTGCCCAGATGTGGATAGGAACTAAGGATTCTGCTCTGTTGAATCGGCAGTGTTATTAGGAAGATCTGTGGCACAGTGAGTAAGCTAAAATGAATGCAGTTTAACACATTACAGCATGTCTACTAAATTCAGATTCTGTTCTGAAACATGACTATGCAAAAGATTGTACTTTTTCCTTCATGGATGCCTCTATTTTAGAAATGCATTGAGTTAATTTTTTAACAAAAAAAGTTTTTATTAGTAGCCATTGCATTATAGGTATAACCTTAGATACCAGTAAATCTAAGACAGAATAAAGCCACTGTGTTCTAAATAAGCAATTTAATCACTTAGTAGTTAGCGAGGTCTTGACAAATCCTAGTTTGATCAGGTACAGGCTGATCACTGAAAATCTAGAAATTGAAAATCTAGAAAAAAAGAACTAAGTTCAAGAAGCACTTTGGTACGCTTTCTGAAAGGAAAAGGTGATTGAAAGACATACAGGGAAGAAAAATGCTTTAAAGCAGTCTAGTTAAGAAAGTATGATGGTTCGGGTTCTTGCATCATAAGAAAAACTGCCCAAGTGAGAAACTTGACTACAGCTTCTGACTTCTCATCAAAATGCAAGTGAGGTTTGTCACATCTCCGGATGGATTTTGTGGTTTTATTTAAGAATGAGACACTGGTGCAATCTGAAATGAAGTTACAATATTTTTTTCATTTGTCTTTAGATATATTTTCCTGTGAAGTGTGTTCTCTAATATTCAGATTCTCCAAAAACTCTAACGGGGTTTAATGTTGTCTATCTGCTGTGGCTTATTCAATATCATAAGTCATATCGCCTTTTCTTAATGATGCAGGAAAAAAACTTTATAAAACGTTCATTTTAGGCCGAGTATTTGAAGTTAGTTTCATAAATGTCCGAATGAAAATGACTTGATAATACATGAGAAGATTGCAGGAAAAAAACCTCCACAAACCCAAAGAATGTCTTGCTAAGCACTTTTTTTCTCAAATCCCTGAAGCATAAAGTATCCCAGACAGATCCATTCAGCAAAACTCATGAAGGCTTTATGAACCTTTAGCCCTTCAGAATGCTGCCTTGTTTGGTATGCACATCTTGCGTGGGCAAGCTGAAAGGGTGTATAAAGAGGGCATGTCACCCACACTTGATATTACAGCTCACCTACTTCATTTTCACCTGTGCAAATTCTACCCACTTAGGCAATTGCTACATATACACCCACTCAACTTCTTGCAATAGAAAGAACGCTATTATTACAGTATAACTAGAGCAAGGTTCTTAACCTTTGATGATCAGGACCTGAATTTTATCACAACATTTATTTTGCGATTCGATGGTGAATACCATTTATAATGTTTAAAGTGGTGCAAAATGATTGAGGAGCATTGGGACCACCAATGACTGCTCTGAAGTGGAAACCACAGTCCTGACTGGAATCCAGCCATGGTACCAGCTGCACAACCCATTAAGTGTCTAATGAGATAAAGTCATATTTTTGTGTCTGTATGTACAGAAGTTTAGAAAATAACCATATATTCAGGTGCACATAATAGTTAATAGCTATGTAATTTGCATATGTATCTGTCAGTAGCACCACTACAGGGCAAGTACATTAAATACACTTCAGTCCTGCTGAAAGATGTACACTTATGGTCATACACTAACATTTTGACTGGTCACACCAGCACTGGGCTTGGTTCACAGTGCCTAGCATGATGCCGAGTTATCAGAGAAACTATGTGTGTTTTTGCTGAGGTACCATGAGCGTTGCAACACAGAAAATAGTGCGTAAATACTGCAAATGTTTTTGAACTTCTGTGTGTGTTTGGGGTGAATCATGTTTGCCTCCTTCTTCTCTGAGCTTTCTGACAACAGGTTGTGGCACAATTGTCATGATCTAGAGGCAAAATTTAAGTATTTCTATCCTATGAGCTATACACAGCTCTTGGGTGACTTTACTGACTGCTTATTGAGCTTTAAGCCATTGGTATGAAGGCTGAACAGTCCTCTGTAAAGCTGGAGTGAATGAAGGGAAATCAGCATTTATATTTCTGTCTTGTATCTAAGCTGACCTACTATGGAATGTAAAAAAAACGTGGTATGCTTATGTTCAAAAAGAATGTCACCTTTTTATATCTAAGTATCTGCAATCCTCTCTAAATACTATAATTTCTCATAAAATACAGCATTGCTCAAACTACTACTAAGCAGAGCAAATCATTTCCCTCACCTATCATTGTAAAAATAGCTCAAGGCTGTCAGTGCAGGCAATGAAATTTTATAGCAAGTACCGAAGGGACTAATGGAGGTTGTGGGAAGAAAGGGTGGGGGTTGTGAAATATCAGTGGGGTTTGAAAGATATGAAGGTGGGTAAGAAGGCTGGGGAGCATTCTTTTTTTTAAAGCAGCCATGGTGTGTAAAAGAGCTAAGAATGGACAGCTATGAATTTCAGATAATGAGGCTGAGGAGAGTCAATAGAGTTTTCAGTCAATAAAGGGATGCTGAGAAGGATGCACCTAATCAGACTGGAAAGCTTTAATTAGTGACATTGTGACAAACTGGGCAAAGAAACTAGGAACCAAAGTGATGGAGGCAAGACAGAAGTTGTTCAAGTGAGATGGATTAATGTTGAGAACAGAGAGATGTGGAAAGGAAAGAGAGAAACTCATCCTAAGAGATAATGATGGGGGAAAAAAAAGGTAGTAATAATGCAGACTGAGATTAGATAAGAAAATTAGGGAGAGAAGAAAAATTATATGAAAATCAGTAGAGTGAAAATATACTGGACACGAATACAGAGGGTGCTTGCAAAATATTAAGGGAGAGAGAAAAGAGAGGGAAAAATACCTGCTAGATACCATGTTTTTTCATAAAGAGACCCCAAAATTCCTGTTGCCTGTCATATCTCTGCTATCAGTAACTGATCTACTGAAAACCATTAATTATGCATGACAAGAAGGCAGGATGAAAACCTATTGTATAGCAAAGGGTCACACTTCTGTCAAGTGCCAAGAAACTTTTCAGCCTCCAAACCCAAATGGTCACTTTATGTTAAGCACAGAACTATAGAATTGTTTAGGTTGAAAAAGACCTTTAAGATCATTGAGACCAGGCATTAACCGAACACTGCCAAGTTCACCACTAAACCACGTCCCTAAGTACAATATCTACACATCTTTTAAATACCTCCAGGGATGGGGACTCCACCACTGCCCTGGGCAGCCTGATCCATGCCTGACAACCCTTTTGGTGAAGAAATTTCTCTTAATATCCAATCTAAGCCTCCTCCGGTGCACCTTGAGGCCATTTCCTATCGCTTGTTGCTTGGGAGAAGAGACCCCCACCTCAATACAGCCTCCTTTCAGATACTTGTAGAGTGTGATAAGGTCCCCATTGAGCCTTCTCTTCTCCAGACTAAACAACCCCAGTTCCCTCATGAGACTTGTGCTCTAGACCCTTCCCATGCCAGAGTCACATGCCTCTGTCTTACTCTCCTAGAGAAAAATTTTTCACAATGAGAATAATCAGCCATTGGAATAAACTCCCCAGGGAAGTGGTGGACTCCACAACATTGGTCACTTAAGATTCAGCTGGACAGCAGGCTGGGACATCTAGTCTAGGTCATGCCCCTTTCACCAGGTGATCCTTGCGGTCCCTTCCAACTCGGTATTCTATGATCTCTGTGATCCTTCGGACACTTTTCTGTTCTTGTTTCAATCTAAATTGATTTGAATAATCAAGAAGCAAATAGAAGTAAATACAGTATTTCAAAGAATACTGGCTGCAACTCTTCACTTATCCTACCAGGTATTCTTGTCAGATAAATCCTAAGGTTATACTTACCCCTTCCATAGCTTCACCCCATTGTCAGGATTGCCTGGCAGGATTTACAATTAGAAAAGGAAACATGAGCTTAATTTTTCTACACATCTTGAACTACTATTTTCTTAACACATATTGGTGTGGAACACACTTTGCAGTGCAGAATACAGGAGGCTCCTAATTGTTTTTACTTTCCCAAATATAGGTGCTAAATTTGCATTTCTTCATTTATCTGATATTCTTAACTTCACGAAGCTACTAAAAAATCCTTACTAGTAGTCCTGCAATTGCATCTGCTAGACACCATTCTTGCATAGGAGAATATATATATGCATATATATAGCATTTATATATGCTCCTGATTCACGAGACATGGTTTGTTATACCAGTTTCCTTTTCCTCCATTTCTCACAGAATCTTTATATTCACCATAATGCACATTATACACTACGTATCTGTACAGTTATTTTGGAACTTTCGAAAATTTTTGCCCATTATTTAATCTAAAAATTACAGACTTAAAATTTTGCATCTTTTTATTATCTTTTCCCTCTCCCCAAGACTCTAATGCCGACAGGAGCCCCACGCGTCCCCCGTCCCGTTCCCTCGCCACGGGGAGCAGCGGCTCCACCCGCGGTGCCCGGGCAGGGCCGCCAGCGCCCGTCACGTCCCGGGATTTTTATCGTGGAAGTATTAAAGCGAGAGGTTGGGGCGCGGAACCCCCTGGGGCTCCCGGGCCCCGCCCCGCATCGTCGGGCCCGGGCCCGGGCGCGGGGGCGGCGCCGCGTTTAACCCAGGCCGGGGCCCGTCCGCAGGGTCCTTGGAACGGTCGCTGCCGCCGCGGGCAGGTGAGCGGGGCCGGGAAGGGGCTAGGCGGGGCCGGTGCGGGACCGCGGTGGGTCTTTCCCCGCGGGGTACGCGGCCTGCAGTGCCGGGGTGCGTCAACAATGACCCTTTGTCGGGGCCGCTGAACACCAGAAACTGAGGGAATCCCCCGAGCTTTCGCTGTAATAGTGTTGGGAAACGCTAATGACGTTTCCAGGTGAAGAAACAGGATAAATGTGGGTGCTGGGCACTTGCTGTATTTTGCTTGTGCTTGGCTGTGATGGGTACCCCCACTGGGCGCAGGTCCTGCTCTTCATACACCCTCCTCCAGCTTTTACCTGCCACGTTTATGGCAGCTGAGCTGGGTGCTGGTGCCAAGGGTCATTCCTTAGTTCCACATGGGAATCAAAGCCGAGTGGGAATTCAGGCCATCATATTTAAGGTTGTAAGAGAATAAATGAGGAAATGGTGCTTTGGGTGAGGTACTCTCAGTGTGTGCAAAAGGGGGAATAGCTGTGGAAAACTGGGGAACTGGGCACTGTAACTGCTGGTACTTCCTATTTAAGGGGATGTAAATTTCAGTTCTGGGGTGGATGTGCCAATAACTCATGAAGGTAATGAAAGCTGTAGAAACGTATCAGTGAAAACATAGCAGTATACAAGATTGGTGGGTTTCTGGAGGGAAATAAGGTGTGTGGTGGCAGTGTGAGACCAGCAAGAGAGTTATTTGCCATGGAACTACCACCAAAAAAAGTCTGGGAAATCTGTTTACACTGAAAGGCAGCATCATGGAATCATAGAAAGGTTTGGTTTGGGAAGGACCTTAAAGATAATGTAGTTCCAACCCCCCTGCCATGGGCAGAGACACCTTCCACTAGACCAGATTGCTCAAAGCACCTGGCCTTGAACACTGCCAGGGATGGGGCAGTCACAACTTCCACCCTTTTTCAGTTTAAAGCCATTCCCCCTGGAAGGTGAAGAATTGTAGCTGTTAGATTACTCGTTGTAATTGTTAGATTACTCCTCTTGTGAAACAGCAGTTGAGTTTGACAGAGGAAGTGGGAGCCTGCCACAAGAAAGCAGGTGTTCCAAAATCTCCCCAGAAGCCTCCAGCTACTTCACACTCATCTTCCCACTATGCTCTGCTAAACCTAACACCAACAACAAACTGGTGAGCAGCAAGACAAGTATTAACTGTCCTTGGTTGAAGGACAGCTACAAGGTTTTAATTTTGATGCCGTAGGTCTCTTGTGACAGCTCTGTTGTTGCACTTCTGTTCGCTGGGATTATAGTATTGGTAAGATTATTCTTATCGACAAATTATGCTTCAGCAAGGGCTCGGGATCTGAATGACTTACACTACATTACTGTATAGGAGGCTTTTGTTGGAGGGGGAGCTCCCCTTTAAGTAGGGAGGCATTAGTTTTGTCTCCATCTGACATCACTTGTAATTTTACATTATAGATATAGCTATTACTCTGGTATTTGATATACTTTAAAGGTGGAGGCCAAACAAACATCTCACCTGTCAACACAGATGTTGTCCTCTAGAACAATGAAGTCACTCAGAACAATAATGTTTAAAGTCCATTACTAGATGAGATGAGAAAAATACAGACAATGTAAAAAATGTTTGTTGCAACAAACAAGTTGCGAACAAGTGTAGTGTGTGTTGCAACACCTTATACTCACCTTTTATAGGTTACTCAGTATTGAAGAACATGGGAGCTGCTCTTGGCTCTGATTTGATAAAAGCAGAAGAGAAATTTCTCACTTAAATTCTGAGACTTGGGGCAAACCAGAGCAGTTAAAAGTAAGCATGTTGCAGTAACATTCTTACATTATCTTCCAGTACGCAGTCAAGCAGGTCTTTAGTAACAGCCTTGCAACAGGCACTCAAATAGTTATGTAAAAATTTCCGATACGGTGTTTGATAGAAAGGATGCTTCAAAATTGTGTTTGTGGTCTCAGCAAGGGGCTGGTGAGACATGGCCAGTAGAATGTGCCAAAAATAGAAGTTCAGTCCTGTTGTAGACTTTTGATGTTACACTGGCAGTACCGTACTGACCATGCCTTATCATATTGGGCTCACATCCTATGGTCCAAAAGCCAGAATCAGTTTTCAGTGATCAGAGTTCAGTCTTTCCTTATGAAATGTTGTAGGCAGTGTACAATTGAACTGTGGGAGCAGGAACTGAAAACTGGCTGAGCACCCAACTCCCAGAAGAAGCCATGCTGCTTCTAGTTTTTCCTCAGTCAATCATTTATTCTTTCTACACTCTTGACTTTCCCATTGGATTCAATGGGAATGATGTTGAATTAAATTGTATCCCACCCAGCTAGCTGGCATAAGGTGAACTCACTCCATGTGTACCCAACTACTTTGATATGTCTCATTGAAATCTGTACTGTTAATACCTGTTTTGTGGGTTTAAAAAACCCTGAACGTTTGCACATTTAAGTATCTTAATTTCTTTCTAAAGCTTTTTTCTTTTCTGTTTTTTAGTGTCTACATTGAACTTAAAATCAGAAATAAATTGTTGTATTCATTTATATTGTAGTCAATGAGTGAACAAATTTAGACATTGTGGTCTTCCAGCCAGGAAGTAATTTTCTGTTATGTAAAAATTGGGATGAAGGAAGAGGAATTGGTGGGATGTTACATTGCTTACATTGATTGTTGTAAACATCCTATTAATATTATGAGGAAATTCTGAACAATGTAGGACAGAGACTCAGTGCTCATTTGACATGGATTCCGTCACCAATGGATACTTCTTTGTCAGTTGATGGCATCATTCATTCATATGTGCTCCGTTTTAAAGAGCTTTATTTTTTAATCAAAATGTCAAGTGGTATTTGTAATGTATTTTCATAATCCCCATAGACCATCTTAATGTTGGGCTGTTCCTAAGAGTGGTTTTGCCTGTGACAGCATTTTCACAGTTATCCTGTTCTCAGGGAGCCAGCTGATCCTGTTGGAGACCAGGCCGGTGATGAGAACACACAGTGAGGGGCTGGTGGAAGCGCAAGTTCCAAGTTGCAGCTCATGTGTGGCTTAAAATGACTCTTTGAAAAGCCCCTAGTAAACCTGTATGTGCATGACGCTGCACAACTATTAAACCTCTAATTTCCTTAAATACTAGAGGTGGATTTGTGTACATGGTCTGTTTCCCATAAAATTATAATGAGTGGTATCAGTTGCCTTCATCATATACCAGCTTCTCCGTAATCTTGTCAGTGATTTATCTAGCTGCTGAGTCTGCAGCTAGGGGATTTTGGAATAATCTTAAATCTCTTGCAGTCCTCTGGATTTTCCCTAGTCTTTCACAAGTTACTAAAAATGAGTATCAGAGGCCAGAGGGAACTTCAGGTGGTTTTTAAAAGAATGTTAGGTGCAAGAAAATACCTGGATTTTTTAATCTTAAAATGTCGGTAAATTATATGATCTCTTGATCACCAGGTTGCTGTCAGTGATCAATATATCCAAATGACCCATACGGCAGTCATTATTGGTACATTTACTATGGGCATGGACATTTTATCTGCAACTTTAAGCTAGTTTTGCTACCACTGTGGTATGTGTTCCCAGTCTGAAGCCCCCATAACAATGCAAAATCCACTTGCTTCCTTCACCCTCTGTTACAGGCTGAACAAGTAATTCCAAGTATTGCTCAGTATTACTGATTCAATAGCCTGAGACAAGCCCTTAGCATCACCTTCTCCTGGTCTCTGTCAGCACTGGTTGCTTCATACAAATTTGGGATTTGTAGACCTTGCTCTTATTGGCAACTTTAAACAATAACTTCTTTATTACAGAGTAGCACCACACCATCAGCTGTATCCTCATTAAACACCTCCTAAACAAAGATTTAAAGATCTGAATCATGCAGACTATTTCTTTCACATTATTGATGAAATCTCTTTTCAGTGACAATTTCCAGATTTTCCTATATCTTAGGCATCAGTCATCAGGTTATAAACAATTCTATATTAATTCTTGTGATGTTCTTCATCACATTGGTTTCACTTGTTACCCATGCTGAACATCATTTAATACACTGCTTGCTTTCTTTGAGCAAGGTAATTTACTATCCTTCTGGCTTGTGCTCTACCTGTGAAACCCATGAATTTTTGCACTTTTACCCTTCCAGTTCTCTCCCCCATCCCGCTGCAGGGGGGAGAGAGAGAGCAGTTATGTGCTGCGCAGCTGCTTACTGGGGTTAAACAATGACAGTCCTTTTTGGTGACCAATGAGTGCAAAGGATTTGAGATAAGGACAGATTTGTGTGAGTGTCCTGATTTCATCTGGGATAGAGTTAATTTTTCTAGTAGCTAGTGCAGTGCTGTGTTTTGACTTTAGTGTGAGAACAATATTGGTAACACACTGATGTTTTGGTTGTTGCTAAATAGCGCTTACCCTGATCAAGGACTTTTCAGTCTTTCATGCTCTGCCACTGAGGAGGGGCATGGAAAGACGGGAGGGAGCAGAGACAGAACACCTGACACAAACTAGCCAAAGGCGTATTCCATACCACAGCATGTCATGCCCAGTATATAAGCTGGGGGCAGCTGGCCAGGACAGGCTGATCGCTGCTTAGGGATGAGCTGGGCATTGTTTTCTGGTGGTGAGCAATTGTATTGTGCATCACTTGTTTTTTTTAATTGGGTTTTATTATTCTCTCTATTTCCTATTATTATTAATTTATTACTATATTTTGTTTAGATTATTAAACTATTCTTACCTCAACCCACAAATTTTAGCTTTTTTTCTGATTGTCCTCCCATTCCCACTGAGGTGAGGAGCATGAGGTATGAACTAGTGGTTGCATGGTACTTACTTGCTGACTGGTGTTAAACCAAGACAGTGAGACCAAATTTATAGCTGTTACAGATACTCATCAGCAAGGCTTGCTTGCCTCACCACATGTTAGAGTCTGGTGCTTGTTTGTGGCTGCTGTTTGCTTTTTGCTTTTGCTGTTTGCTGTACTCCTTGTCATTCACAATTCCTGATGGAGCTGTGCTTTATACCAGTCCACCACTATATTCTACCCAGGGCTTCAAAAAAGAAAAATAAAAGTGGAGCATTTATTGTATATATAAAGCTTGCTCATATAAGTACACAGCTGAAGACATAAAGTCAGATAAGTCTGGAATTGCTGTACTTTATGATTTTGGCAATGACTGTGGCAATTACAAATTGTATCTTGTAGGTGCTTGTTCTGGTGCTGGAGCAGAAAAAATTACTCCTTAAACAAGTAGTAACCTGACTGAGGCAACTGAAAGCTGTATTTAGATATGGATTACTGAAACTGATTGCAATGTTTAAATCTCTGGCTAATGTTCAAGAGTCTTGAAATCAGCCAGCAATGCGGCAGTGCTCTTGTATTCTGGGGAAACCGTTGCCTGCTGTCAGGCAGGCAGGAACAGACTAACTAGGGAGCTGCATGTGGCAAACATATCACCAGGGCCACGGAGCTCACTTGGCCTTTGCCAGGGCTGGAAAATCTGAAAGAAGAGTGTGTTGGCATGGTTGTGTGGATGAGGGGCTAGGAGCTTCTTTCCTTACCACTACCAAATGCTGTCCCAGGCACCTTCAGGTCTCATGACGGAGCCTCAGCTGCCCAAGTTTTGTTTGCTGGCTCTTCAGCTGCTCCCTCCAGTATTTGTTCCATTCACTGCCAGCTGCTGCCAAACTGAAAAGGACCAGAAGCCTAGGCTGGACTCTGCAGAGGATCGGGAGAGCCCAGACCCCTGGTAGCAATCTTCTTGGCCAACACTGCTGAAAATACTTAGCACTTAATCCTCTTTTGAGTTTCTGAAAAGCCACATTTATACAGAGAAATCATTTGATCAGCCATGCTGCATGGATCCTGAGCCTTCCTTCGGCTCCAGCCCTTGTCCTTTCAGCCCCTGTTATCTGGCTGTATTATAAAGACCCACAAATACGTGGGAAAATTTCATCACTCTTTAGAGGCAGTAGTGGATGGCAATTAGCAGCAGCTATCTCAGCATGACAGAGAGAGGCTAAATGTTTGTCTCTGAGTTATACCAAAACAAGCATCAGGTACATCTACAAAAACTTCTTTCCTAAATTGAGAAACTTGTATGATTATAAAAATTACAGCTGGCTTTTGTTTTTGTTTTTTGTTTTTTTTGTTTTTTTTTTGTTTTTTTTTTTTTTGTTTTGTTTTGTTTTTGTTTTTTGTTTGTTTGGTTTTTTTTTGTTTGGTTTTTTTTTTTTTTTTTCTTCTCCATGCAGGACATGATATGACAAAAAGAATTCTGCACTTCAGGACAGATGCCAATGACTGACCTAAACTCCCTTGCCTATATACTGGAAGAATGGACTGTTGTGGAGTACCTGAAGAAATACCTTATTTATGTGGTCATCGCCTCACTAACAATGAGTGCAATATTATTTTTTTTTATAGTTCCTTTAACAATCATCTTTTTCATTTACCTTACGAATATTTTGCTTTTAATGCATCAGAGGAGCAGTGGGACAGAAGCAGATCCCTTGAGTGATGTTTGGGATAGTGCAAGGAAAACTATAGCAAGTTTTTGGGATGTATATGCAAGAATATGGCATGGTAAGTATGACAACTTGTCTGAAGCTTTGAATTACCTAAGTAATAAGTACACATAAGTTTTAATGTATTTGTTTTCTATTTCTTCCAAATAGATGCAAAGAAGTGACATTTATTATACTTTGCATGGCATCTAACCCAAAAGTTTCTGCCTCAAAGACTGATTGCAATATAAAATAGTCAAACTGAAAGGAAGAATTTAATTTATATAGGGTCAACTTCTCTAAAGTAGATAGGCAGGTGCACTTCTCTGTATACAGTATCAGAGGGAAGCACTGCAGGAGAGATGTGTGATTTATTTTTTTACCTTATTAGGCACTTAAAACTCACTTAAATTACCAAAACAAAGCAACTAGTTGGAAATGTAGTTAGTGTGTTTTCAGTTGGTTAAAACTACTTTGTGTACTCAGAACTGTATGGATGAAAAAATAATGAGACACCATGTTTAAGTTTGTATTCTGCTACAATTTAAAAGTAGCATGATTTTGCAGTTCTATTGCACTCATCCTTCAGACACTTTCAACACATCCTGCTCCCTAGGAAAATCCTCAGCTGCATACTAAGCTCTTGTTCTTCTCACAGATGTAGGTTAAGGCTGCCAGCAAGACTTAACTTTGCTGCCCTAAGGATGAAGAGTAACAGGTTATCTATGTTGCTATCCTTCCTCATAGTTTCTTCCTTTAATCTTTGAACATCCTGCAGTATCAAACTTTCTCCACCTCTTCGTAGATCTCTGCCTGCTCCATCCCCTACTTTCTCCCCAGACAGCTCATGACAGAAGCTGTAGCAGGAATGGACATGAATGTAGACAAGGTGGAATAGAGCTCTTGGCAGAAGCTGTGGCTTTTCCAAAACTTTGTATACATTAGCCTCGTAGCCTGGCTCCACCTAAAACCTAAACCAAATGTAGGAAGAGCCAGGAGAGACATTTATAGAAGTCCATGTCGGTGAGGAAATTCCCTTCCACTGTTAAGTGAATACATTGAACTCCATGGAGAGAACCTGTCGTTGGGATTCTTACAGATTCTGGTTTGGACTTAAATATCTCAACCAGAGAAACTTTAAATTATGTAAAATCCTAAACTTTTCTTTCTGCCTGACACAGAATGAAGATTCATACTTCCATATTTCAGGAAAGCGTACTGACTACTTGTTTGCCTCTCATTCTGCCAATGAAGTGATTTCACACTTTAGACTGGAAAAAGTTCCTAATAGGAAATAATTTAGTCCCCTCACTGGGGGAAATGTCAGGTTAGGTGTGATCTAATGGCTAAACTGATCAACAAATTAGTCCATTGACAACCTGTGGTGTTTGAGGCACTTTCTCTTTGATACAGAGCAAATGTTCCATCCAGAATTTAATTCTTGTAAAAGCCACGGCAGAGACTTTCACAACTGACTGAAAGTCATTTAATGAAAGACAGTAAACAGTTTTCTTTAAATTGCCAGATGATTTACAGCTGTCATTGTCAGTTATTGCTTTCCATCCCAAACAGGTTATGAGCTTCATGGTGTGGAAAACCTACCAGAAGGACCAGGCATTCTGGTGTATTACCATGGAGCTATTCCTATAGACTATCTTTACTTCTTGTCCAGGCTGTTTCTCTGGAAGAAAAGACTTTGTCTGTCAGTAGCTGATCATTTTGTCTTTCGCTTACCAGGTAAGAATACATTCTCTTGTCTTTAAGCACTCTGGATTCACTCAACTTGTTGCTAGTTTTGGTGAAATTTACATTTATTACAATTTCAAGACAGCTTTTTAACTAAAAGACTGTTTTTAGATTTTTAAAGTAAAAGCTGGTAGCTGCAGAAGGACAAACAAAGTAGAATATCAAATATCCTGTCTTTTAAGTGAAGGGTCATAAAAACGCTGGTAGACCCTCTGAAGCCAACAAATAGACATTATGTAATTCCTTTGGGATGAAATGTCATGCCTCAGTAGGAAGTGTAGGATAGTGACTATATTAGTGACCTAGTGCTGGCTAGTCAGCAAAGGGCTATGAGTGCAGAAGATCTCAGTAAAGGCAGGATATCAATCACTTACTTGCCCCTACACTGGGTAGCCACTGCAGTGGGGTACAACATCAAATCTACCTTTTGGTAGAAGCCTGGAGTAGGACACAAAACTTCTTTGAAGATTTTACTGTTGAAGAGAGGTCTATAACACTGACCACCACAATACATTCAACACATTGTAGGCTGAGAAAGAAATAAATAATTCCATTGTGAAAGGGAGAAGTTACAGAAAAGCAAACCTCATGCAGTTTTTTGAAAACCAAAGCATAAAGAGCATTCATAAGGAATAGGAGGGAGACTATTTTAAGGCACCTTTATACCACTTATCTTAAAAGGAAGCTATTTAAATGTAGAAGGACATTATTCAGAAAAGAAAGTTGTGTCCAAACACTGAAAACAAAGAGAATAAACTCAAGCAAGTTTGATGTGGGAACATACTAAGGCAGTCATAGAAAACTGTGGAGGAAGAATTTGCTACAGACGTACTTAGTAAATACTGTATTAAAATATTTAAAAAGAAGGACTCGTGGAAATTGAAAAGGCTTTGCTCAGGTTGCTCTAGATGCAAAAGTGGCGATTATTATGTGTTACCAATCCTAATTCTATGGTTATTGCTTACATGCTTCATTATAAAATGTAGCTTAGTACTGTTTCTTGGAAAGTCTTCCAGACAGAAGGAAAGGTTTTTGAGTAAAGATTTATTTTCCTTTCCCCACCGCTTTCCTTGAGCACTATCTATGCATCTACCTGTGTTTTGGTTGTATGGTTGGTATTTTGATCATTATGGAAAATAGCGTGTGGAGGCATAGGTTTATTGAGATGCTCCTAAGAAGCTGGTTCATCTTCATAACATTTGGGCAAAAACACTGTCACTTTTCATTTTGCCAATATTTACTCTGTAGGTGTTTCACTTCCTTCAAGCAAATTTGCCCTAGTCTTGGTATATGGCTATTAGATTTTCATTTAGCTATAATCATATTTCTACATGCAAACAGTATTTGTGATATATTGTTACAATAATATTTATTTGCTATTTATGTATTGCAGGTCTTAAATTGTTACTGGGAGTGACAGGTGTTATGCCAGGTACAAGAGAGGAATGCCTCATTGCCCTGAAGAATGGATACTTGGTGTCCATCTCACCAGGTGGAGTTAGAGAAGCACTATTCAGTGATGAAAGTTATCAACTTGTGTGGGGAAATCGAAAAGGCTTTGCTCAGGTTGCTCTAGATGCAAAAGTGGTGAGTATTATATGTTATGAATCCTAATTCTATGCTTATTGCATATATGCTTCATTATAAAACATAGCTTAGGAATGTTTGTTGGAAAATCTTCCAGACCAAAGAAAAGGTTTTAGAGTAAAGACTTCCTTTCCTCTTCCCATCACTTTCTTAAAGCACATTAATCCGTAGGGAGCAAGGGGTTTATGGAACTGTATAGCTTTATATTGCCATACAGTTTCTTGTCTTGACTGTATTTCAGGAGTATTCACTATAGTCCTTCTCCATATTTCATTCTATTTTCTCATTCTACTAGTCTTAAATATTTATCTTACTTTTAAATACCCAGTCATTTTCTTATGGCTCTTTAATACATGATCCTTATCTTTCTTTCCTCTCATTTATTTTAGGAGGGTCCAAGATTTTGTTCTTGCCCTTACCTTTCTTCACGTTTGTGAAAGATTGCATCCACTAACAGAAGGTGTGTCTACCTCAGTGTCTGAGTTTGAATCATGTGTACACTTTTGAAGCAATTTTTCCATCTCCCTCACCATGCTTTGATTCATGTAATGGAACATGTTAGAATACCTTTTGGCTGAAACTAAATCGGACTAATACTCTCCGGTTGCAAATGGGCATTCAGTCAATGGTACCAGCCGAGAATTAGTTCTACATAAAAACATAGCTCTGAAATGTGTTCAGTGTTGATGCCAGACCCTCAGCATCCTCCAGAGATATGGTTCTATTGATCTGCACTCTGCTAATGTACACATGGCCACAGTTTCAGTTATATTTTCCATATAGATTATGATCTACAATACAAACTTCTACCGCTGGCTCTGACTTCTTCTGTCTAATTCCATGTAGAATCACAGAATCAGCTAGGTTGGAAAAGACCTTCAAGATCATCAAGTCCAACTGTTAACCCAGGCCCATGAGACTGTTTCTCTGACACAGCCTCTGGGAAATACTTTTATTTGGGATGGCATAGAGCTGAAAGAGCAGCAACCCTTCTTTTTCCTAACTGCATTTTCTTATTATCAGCACTGGAGATGAGTTTTCTGTCTTAATTTAAACTTAGCATACCTGGCACTCTTTGTGTCTGACAATACCAGTAGTCATCCAGGCTTCTTCTGTTCAGCCACGAGCTTTCTATTGCTTTCTCATGAATTGCACAACCATCATTTTTCTTTACATTCTTATAAATATCTCATCAATTGCAGCGCTTTTCTTTGGCCTACCACATAAACATAATCCTTGTCTGTTTATAGGAGAATCTGTACAGGAAGTTGAGTTCTTCCCATAAACCTTCCATTTCTTACCACCCCTTTCAGGTTTTTTTGTGCAGTTACAGCTCACTCTCACCCCATCCAATTTGTTGCTTCTCAAACTTTGCTTTTTTATGCTGTATCTCCTACTACAAAGTACCTAGGGTTGCAAAATGCAAGCTTCAGGTTAATAGTTCTTCATAACTTTATCTAGCTCTGAAATCTTGTGGGGAGATAACTAAACACTAGAATAAATTTGGGGGAATTTTTGGCTGAGAGTCCTATCCTACCTCTTTGTTTGTCTTGTTATGTGGCCTTTTAAAAGTCACATTTTATGTGCTTCTGTTCCCTCTCCTATCCTTTTTCTCAAAAGCATGGGCTGGTAAATGTTAGTCACAATACTTCATATATTGTGTGGGCCTGTACACCACCATCAGAATGTGAATAGGATAAACCCTATCAAATTCATACGGGCATTTTGAATTCCCTTACAGTCTTTCTTTTTATATATTAATTTAATAATATACTCAGTAAGAAAGAGGTGTCACTTTAACAACTTAAGTGATTTCTAACCATTTTGCTTTTATACCTGCCTTTCAAGCTACTTCAAATATTTGAACACTGTATTGCCAGTTGTTTTTACTTCACTTGGAATTTATAGTGTAATCCTACAATGTAATAATGTTTCTTTCTAATTTAAATAAAAATTGAATTAAATAACTCTGAATGCCCTTAATATAGAGTGCCACCCTGATCAAAACACATCACAAAAATCCTCCCAGGCTTTCATAATTTAGAAGCACATGGAAATACCTGAATAATAGTACCTAAAATTGCTACCACCTCCTGTTGACAGGTTTGTGGATTTTGGGTTTTTTTTTGTTCTTTCATGTAATGATTTGGGTATTCACTGAAGATAAGGTTCTTGCAGTGTGGAAGGTTCTTGTGGTCATCTGTATAACATATTTGGTAAAACAAACGCTACATAGAATTATGTGTTACTTGAAGGGCAGAGAGTATTTTCTCCTTTGATACCTACTAGCCTGAACTCACCTGCACAGTGCTGCTGACTTTTGTATTACTTATTATTGCAACTCATTCAGGGTTTGTTCAGATTAGGAAGTCTGACTGGATCCCACTGTGGTGGGCATCACTGTAATTAGCTTGCAGGCTCCACTGAAATTTGGGCATCTTTGGTATTTCTCTGGAAATCTGTGAGCAGATAACTCTTAGATAACTAAGAATTTCTTGAAGTGCTGTGCATTTAACAGTAGAGGGGGCAATATTAACCTTTTATGTCCTTTCTTATATAAAGTTAGGCCCATAGTAGCAACTGGATTCCATCTTTTGACAAACATGTTTCATAGAATCACAGAATGGTTTGGGTTGGAAGATCATCCAGTTCCAACCCCCTGCCACAGGCAGGGACACCTTCCACTAGACCAGGCTGCTCAAAGCTCCATCCAACCTGACCTTAAACACTGCCAGGTATGGGGCAGCCACAGCTTCTCTGGGCACCCTCTGCCAGTGTCTCACCAACCCTAAGAGGAAAGATCTTCCTTTAATCTTTACTTGTGTAAAGTGTTCAACACTGTCCCACACAACATCCTTGTCTCTAAATTGGAGAGACATTGATTTGATGGATGGACCACACGGTGGATAAAGAACTGGCTGGATGGCTGCACACAAAGAGTTGTGGTCAATGGCTCAATGTCCGGCTGGAGACCAGTAACGAGTGGTGTCTCTCAGGGATCGATGTTGGGACTGGTCTTGTTTAACATCTTTGTCGCTGACATGGACAGTGGGATTGAGTGTGCCCTCAGCAAGTTTGCCGATGACACCAAGCTGTGTGGTTCAGTTGATACCCCGGAATGAAGGAATGCCATCCAGAGGGACCTTGACACGCTTGTGAGGTGGGCTGATGCCAACCTCATGAAGTTTAACCATGCCAAGTGCAAGGTCCTACACCTGGGTAGGAGCAATCCCAGGCACAGCTACAGGTTGGGCAGAGAAGAGATTCAGAGCAGCCCTGCGGAGAAGGACTTGGGGGTGTTGGTTGATGATGAGAAAATGAACATGAGCCGGCAGTATGCGCTTGCAGCCCAGAATGCCAACCATATCCTGGGCTGCATCAAAAGGAGCGTGACCAGCAGGTCAAAGGAGGTGATCCTGCCCCTCTACTCTGCTCTTGTGAGACCTCACCTGGAGTATTGTGTGCAGTTCTGGTGTCCTCAACATAAAAAGGACATGGAACTGTTGGAACAAGTGCAGAGAAGGGCCACGAGGATAATCAGGGGACTGGAGCACCTCCTGTATGAAGACAGGCTGAGGAAGTTGGGGCTGTTCAGCCTGGAGAAGAGAAGGCTGCGTGGAGACCTCATAGCAGCCTTCCAGTATCCGAAGGGTGCCTATAGGGATGCTGGAGAGGGACTCTTCATTAGGGACTGTAGTGATAGGACAAGGAGGAACGGGTTAAAACTTAAACAGGGGAAGTTTAGATTGGATATAAGGAAGAAATTCTTTCCTGTTAGGGTGGTGAGGCACTGGAAGGGGTTGCCTAGGGAGGTTGTGAATGCTCAGTCCCTGGCAGTGTTCAAGACCAGGTTGGACGAGGCCTTGGGTGATATGATTTAGCGTAAGGTGTCCCTGCCCACGGCAGGGGGGTTGGAACTAGATGATCTTAAGGTCCTTTCCAGCCCTAATTATTCTATGATTCTAAATCTACCCTCTATCAGCTTCCTCTTTGTCCTATCCCTACATGCCCTTGTAAAAAGTCCCTCTCCAGGTTTCTTGTGGACCCTTTTAAGGTACTGGAAGGCTGCTAGGTCTCCCTGTAGCCTTCTCTTCTCCAAGCTGTCCAGCTCTCTCAGCCTGTCTTCATAGGAGAGGTGCTCCAGCCCTCTGCTCATCTTCGTGGCTCTCCTCTGGTGTCTGATTGTTTATATTTGTTCTTGCTGCATTCTTTTCAATACTGGCCACATCAGTCTTATTGGTTGACTGAAGACTGCATGTAGACTCATCTAAACTATCAGAACTGACATTGTATTAGAGTTTTATATAACTCGTATGATACATATTTCTTGCAGTATTGCAGACTGAAATGTAAAATGAAGCTTTGCAGTGTCTCTGTCTAAAGCTTCCATCATGAGCACTGAATAGGAAAGCACTCAATTCATGAAGCTTTGGAGAAAGCAAATAGACATTTACGTTTGGCTCATCTTATCTTCTTCTCAAAGTAAGGTCTCACTGAAGCAGTAATGTTTAGATAATACCCCACTGGAAAGAACTTCTGCAGATCCCTTGGACAAACAAGTCATTTGTATGTCCTGGTTGACCTGGACTACATGCCTTCTGGAAGGCAGAGGTTTAGGTAGTTATAGAACAAGTTCACTTCATTACTGTGACTAAAAGGAAAGACACTGGACATGCCTGAACTTCAAACAGCCATGTCTTAGAGTCTGAGTTAAGATTTCATAGTCTGTAGACAAGCAAACAGTAATTGTATCCATACATACAATGACTTTTTCTCTCTTTATTGTCCCTTTTATGTTTTTGAAACTGTATTTTAAGCATATTTTTGGAATTACTTGTCCAGAAGGTAATGAAAGAACCCCTTTACTCTGTTAAGAATCACTACCACAGAACAGAAACCACAGGATGAGAAAAAAAACAAGCAAGAAAAAGACCTAACTAGAGCCTAACAAAGAACTCAGTGATGGAAGCCATTTAAAGGAAAAAACCCTGACATCCTTA